CTACCCTGCCCCCCCGCCTCCTTCGTGCCCCTTCTCTGAGGCCCACGCCTGCTCACTCCGTTCTCCCTCCCTCCCCCATCCTGCCTCCCTTTCACCAGGCGGGGCAGCGGGTTGGGGTGCAGGCTCTGGTCTTGCATGAACGGATTTGCAGTGTGAGGGGCTCTGAGCTGAGCTTGGGGCAGGCAGTTGGGGTGTTGGAGGGGTTCTAGGTGCAGGCTCTGGCAGGGCATTTGGATGCAGGGGTGCTCAGGAATAGGGCAGGTGCTTGTGGTGCAGGAGGGAGTTTATGACTGGGGTAGGGTTTCAGGATGTGGGCTCCAGCTGGGCACTGCTAATGTCAGGTGGCTCCTGGGTGGTGGTGCAGTGGGACTAAGGCAGGCTCACCCCTGCATTGGCCCTGCGCCACTCCCAAAAGCAGCCAGCAAACTCCCTCCATCCCAATTCCTTTGGTGCCCACTTCTCCACTCTGTGGAGATAGGATACAGAGGGAGACGGGGCACTCTGACATCAGCACCCCTCTTCCTTCCCCTGTTCTGCCCAGCAAGCAGGTCGCTCCTGAGGGGAACAGCTCCAAGGCAAAGGGCAGGAGATGCGTAGCAGTCAGGAGAGGTGCAGCTAAAGGGCTGCACTTGGTAGCCTCTTGGCCAAACCGGTCAGGATCCCCTGTCAGAGGCTCCAAGATCTCCCAGTCGATCCCGATGGACTGGTTGGTGACCACGGACCTAGAGCATCTGGAAGGCTGCTCTGTCTTCTGCTCAGCGGCAGTAGCCTACATAGGCGCCATTCGTGCAGCTGAGAATAGTCAGTGATCCCCAGCGTTCTCAGCCCCATCCACGTGCCAGAAGCTCTGAGGACCGCGAAGGGTGGTGCGGAGCATCCCGCCAGCTTTATACCCTGTGAGGTTCGCCGGTGTTGTGGTTGCTCCCAGGGACGGGGCCCCGACAGAGCGTGCGTGCGAGAGAGGGCGGCTGCATTATCCAGTTTCCATTAGGGATAGATGTCGCATTTTTAGCAGCTGAGACGAGAGGTTTTTAGTTTCGTCTGGCTGGCTCTTCTGCACACGCACTCGCTCACATGGGCTTCTAAGCTGGCCGCCTGTCTCGGGGGGACACAATGTCCATTTTTCCTCTGGCTTGTGCTGGAAGGAGCAAATCACCCCCAGCTGAGTGCACCTGTCCCGTTCTGGCTGGCACCTCTCGCTGCGCTCAGCTTCCTGGCCTTCCGCTAACAAGTCTCCTAATGCAAAAGAGTCATCCCTGTGGATCCGGGGCCATGCAAAAAGGGGGCAGTTTTGGAGGAAAGGGCAGAGATTTCCAAAGTCTCGCTCCTGGAAACGAAGCCTCTATCTCGGCGGATGGCGAGGGTTTAAAACGAGGGCCTGGCCCAGGAGAAGAGCTGCAGTTCCGAATTGGTGCCTTTCTCTCTTGCTCAGAGAAGTCATAAGGTGTTTTCAGGGAAAGGGCCTAATTTCCTCCCCGCAAGATCCCCTGTGGAAGTTGGCTGGTGACTGGTGCTACATGAGGAGTTGGAACAGGCTGGGGTTCTACAGATTTCTCTCGCCTCTTGGGGGGCGGGGAAATCCAAAGGGAGAGACCATGGCTCTGCATCGAGTAACAAAGGGACCCGTGGCAGCACACAGTCAACCTGCAGAACTCCTTGCCAGAGGATGTGGTGAAGACTAGGATTTTAACAGAGTTCCAAAAAGAGCTAGAGTGAGTCATGGAGGCTGATGGCTATTAGCCAGGATGGGTAGGTATGATGTCCCTAGCCTCTGTTTGTCTGGTAATGGGTAACAGGGGAGGGATCACGTGAGGATTACCTGTTGTGTTCCCTCCCTCTGGAGCATCTGGCATTGGCCACTGTCAGCAGACTGGGCTAGATGGACCATTGGTCTGACCCAGTGTGGCCGTTCTTATGTTATGTTCAGTATCCCCTCACCAGCTGCTGCCGAGGAAAAAGTGCTACACTACTGGGATAACCTGCCCATGGGAAAATTTCCTTTGGAGGTCGGGGTAAGCCCTGAAGCACGAGCTCATAGTTGGCTTGATGCCTCCTGCAAACCCTCCCAAATGCCTGATCCTCTTTTGCAATCTCTTGTGACCCCGAGTGCCACAAACCCCTCGCGAGCCGGGTGTGGGGAGGAGAGGCAGGGCTGCTTCGCAATCTTTCCATGCTGGGACTCGTCCCTCATTCTGCCAATGGCCTGTCTGCCCCTCGCTGGTCCAGGGGGGAGTTTGGTGTGTGGAGGCTGCAGCCGGAGATGGGAAGGAGGTGCAGTGAGGGGCCGCCCCAGGGACTGGGGGAGTCAGAGCTCCATGCTGGGGAGAGGGGCCGCTCCAGAGTATGGCACGGCCACCTCATAGCGGGAGACATTAGACCCAGAGGGATCCAACAGGACCGAGCGTGGCCTGAGAGTAAAGGTGATGCTGCCAAGTGTGGAGGGCAGTGGGGCAGTGCTGAGGGGAAGAGGAGCCGTGAGGCAAGCACAGCCAACGCTCTGCTGCTGGAACCGTGTTTCGCTGCTTTCCTCGGAAGGTCGGCGGGGCTGGATTCGGCTCTTGGCGTGGCTGGGGTAAATCCACAACAAGGCCGCCGAAGCCCGTGAAGTTGCTCTGGATTTTCCCCGAGAGGGAGATCTGGCCCCGCGTTGGGAG